TGGCGTTAATGAGATTGAATTTGCTGGAATTGTGCACATCACGTTCGTGTCCCATCCCTTTTCATGAATGCATCGGCAGTCGGTTAAAGATGCACACTTTGCAATTTGGAAGATTAGGGAATTTGTATTGAGAAAGATGTATCGATTGGAAGGTTAGGAGATTCAGCTGATAAGTATTGACTGATCTAGAACCTTGTTTCTCGGGCACCTATCCCCAATTCTCCCAAACGTGTAGTTGAGCGCGGCCCATGGGCGCATTCATGGTCGATCATCCAATCAACGACCGACTATGAACGCGTCAAGGTATTTCGAAAGTTCAATTGTGACAGTGACAACTACGTGACAGTGTGGAGTGACAACTACGTATCGATGTCTGACGTCGGACAGGTTGAACGCCAGACGATCGATATGTATCTAATGTTGTGCGGTCCTTACGATCGCAACGATCGGACGACCGACTCTGAATGCGCCCTATGTCAGAAAGAAATGATCTATATATTTTCATATTACAAATGATGAGAAACGAACCCATCGGGGTGAGTAGCGTCAGTCTTCTTCAATCATCAGTCTTCTTTCAGGTTCGCTTCCATCCCATCCCTATCTTATCAAGCCACCTATTTGTTTGCTTGTTGAGGCTCCGATTTCCGCGGGTATCGCCTCGTTCATCATCAGCAATCTGAGGTTTGTAATTTCGGGGTGCTAACTTAGTTGGGGGGGGGCACGCGGCGGCGCGGCAGTCTGCTCACCTGGGCTCTCTCGAGCGAGACAGTGTAAACTCGAACATTCCAGCTTTTCACGCATGTCAACTGCCTGCCCCCACCCCCCCCCCCCCAACTAAGTTAGCATCATTTTGCGCCCGTTCGCGGCTCCCCCACTTTCTTCACGATTTGGGGCGCGGCCGCGGCAAACCCGGCCGAGTATGCGCCATCAGCTTACCTGAGTATTCGACGTTACATTACGTATCGCAATGTAACGTCGAATACTCAGGCAAGCTGATGCCGTAATGTAACGTCGAATACTCAGGTAAGCTGATGGCGCATACTCGGCCGGGTTTGCCGCGGCCGCGCCCCAAATCGTGAAGAAAGTGGGGGAGCCCCCGTTCGCCACAATTTCACCTACGTAGCGCTAATAATACCGCAAATATGCTGGTTCTGTCGCGCGTTTCGCCTGTCTCGCTGTGTTCGCTGAGGGAACACGAGCTCAGTGATGCAGGCTCAATGATGGCAGACCTGCGCACCGACTAGAAAGAAGCCACACCGCACATCTTCCTTACGACTCTTTACTCATAATGGATTACAGTGCAACTGAGGCCTTTCCCTATGTTCCGTCTCGCAGACGTTAAGAGGACGTGCTCCCCCACAGAGGAGGGGAAAGAACGTACCACTCTTCGTGCTCTAAAAGTTTTAGCGTACGAGCTCACTATAGTTTTGAATCGCAGTTTAGGCGAGAGAGCGTATAAGAGTGCAGCACATTGATGCTTTCCAAAAGACTAGGTTGGACAGGTTCATGTTCCCGTAGACCCCCGTAATCGGTCTACTCTACGAACAGAGATCGTCGAATGTTGCTCGAAAGGTTAGACATGCAGTCCAACGATGTATAAAATGTGGTGAATCTCATGGACAGGCGCTGCGAGAGTGTGCTACTCACGAGATGAAAAGATTCACCGACAGACTTCATAAAGGCTTACAAACCGAATAAAAAATACGACAGAAATCCATGCAAGAACGTGCGCAATGTGGCTCGGGGGAGCGCCGCGCGCGCGTTGCGGCAACAGGAAATTCGTGAGCCAGGGGAATGTAGCCAATTCAGGGGGTGGGGGTGAGGGGTCAGTCACTTAGCATGCGTGAGAAGCTGAATGTTCCGTGAGAAGCTGGAATGTTCGAGTTACACTACATCGCTGAGCCGCGCGCAACGACTCCAACCCCCCCCCCCTCGGGAGCCACATTGCGCCCATCAGAAACTAATATGAATTCAAGATTTTGTCAAGAAACTGACTCATTGTTGCGCAACTGACAATAAGCTAGCTATTGTTGAAGCTCCATTTCGTAGGCACACTTGTGCTCTTTTCTGAGACTATTCATTTGGAAAGAATTCCGCTGAACATCTACCTACCAGGTTGACTCTTTGCATGAGACTTCTATCCCACACAATGGTCTTTTCGCCCTCGAGAGCATCCAAACTGTCGAATAGAAGGCGTCGGTTGTGCTGCCATAACAGGTTCACCTCAGGCGTTTGACCCACACTATCTGATGTCGCCATGTGTGGAAACTAAAATGTGATGAAAGAATTTTGTATGATTATACGTAACAATATATCCTCTTTTCCAAAGCTCTCACATCTCGAAAGTCGTACGAATTCATTTGAACATGGTAATGTAGCAGCATAGAAAGCACTCAAATTTTTTCGAATCGTTTTCATTCCTCCCCCCTAAATATCCCATCCCCTCCGAATAACTCATAAGTTATTACGCGTCACAATAACATAACATAACACATTCCCCATAATAAATGCTTGAACGTGTTTCAAAATCTTCATGGTGAGAGAATAATTGAAAGCAATTTTTTGACGCATGACTCGTTTGCGCCTTCTTAGCGAGATAGTGATAATATTGGAGTGAAATTAGGAATCTGTCAGCCAGGAGAAGGGGGACAGGGAGGGGGGGGGGCAGGGTAAACCACCTCCATCTTACATTCGGAGTTTTGAGGAAGAGATATCGAATCACTACGATCCATCGACTGCTAAGGGGGAGAGGGGGTCAAGTTCAGGATAACTTCCAAGATATTCTCAACTTGAAGATTGATCTTCCCCTCAACTGCGGTAGCGTCGAGTTCCCTTCTTAGGCTAGGCAACCACGATTAATTCTTAAATAACGCACATTTGCAACACAGAGCGCTTCGCTGCTCGCGCCGTGAACAGTTGTGTCACACCACACTTTCGCAGTGGGTGCGCCGTTGCTCAGCAGTCTTGACCTAAGCTTGACTATGTCGTTCGTTGATCATCTTAGCTATACTCCCTTTCAAAAACGAGAAGAGTGTCGGGTGCAGACCATACACCACAAGTGACGACGGCCTCCACAAAATGTAAATGTTTTCTGCCAATGAAATGATTAGCCTGTTGCAGTTGTATTCTATCAGTTGTCACTAATTACAACTATCATTTACCAAAAATCAGCTATCACTATGAACCACTACTAACCAGATTTACTTGGAGGCCGTCGTCACTTGTGGTGTATGGTCTGCACCCGACACTCTTCTCGTTTTTTGAAAGGGAGGGTATTTTAATTAGCGCCATTTTTGAAAGGTTGACTGATAACATAAACAATGTTAATCAAACTGTGATCAAGAAAAAAAAGAACGGTTGACTTGTCTTATACTAGAACTTGACTAATTGCAGCATTGCAAAGCTTTCATGCATTGCTGCGTTGATCGTTTGTCCTGCAGTTCAGATTGCTACTGAAGCGCGCAACAAAAATATGTGGCGGATGGTTGGTCGTGAGCTACTGATAAGCCCCTTTTCCCACGCTGATCGTGTTTTCGCTTCGAAAAAGGCCACCACAAGATGTGAAGTTTTAACTAAACACATTTAGATGGCAGTGTCGGCGTCTAAATGGACAAACGAGGCAGCAGTCGCAACTAGACGAGCACTTTATACACTCCTTGCTGGTCTAATCGTCTCTCTGTATGGTACGCATCTCTTTGCATTTGGTGGTAATTGTCTGCCCATAAATTGCGCATCATTGGGTTTGTGTAGGGTTGTACGTTGAAATTCGCTTCGAGATGGATCACGAATATTCGGCAATGTGCGATGTCTCGTCGCTGGTTTCTTGCACCAGGGTACTGACTTCCAAGTATGGTTCAGGTTTTGGCATTGTAGGACCACTGCTTGGAGAGGACAGTCCTTTCAATCAGGTACCTTCAGCACTTTTAGTTTATGTTATATTCAAAGCCAAACAATTCATCTTTCAGAAAAACGCCTTCTACGGGGTAATCGGATATGCAATTTTGGCGCTGATTCAGCTTTCAAATAACCAGTGTTCTGCGAGTATTTCACTAATGGCGGCTATTCTTATGAACATTATGACTATTTACCTTTTTACAAGTAAGTTCCTTCTATTTCGAAAAATTAAACAACTATAAAGACAGGATCGTGAAATCTTCTGCAAGATATCGTGACCATTTCAGGTGGAAGGTTAAATTGATCTAAGAGTACAGTAAACAATGAAAGGAACACAACACAATAGATTGGCGTGAAACACGGCAGATGCATTGCTTTTCACTTTCTGTACGGTCTTTCTGTACGTGATGTGATAGCGAGTCACCGCAGTGTGAAGTTTCCCTAGTCCACTCAAAGTGGAATCGAAAAGGGGGAGTGTAGCCAGTCTAGGGGTGGGGAGGGGTGAGGGCAGCCACTTGGCATGCGTGAAAAATTGAAATGTTCAAGCTTCCACTATGTCATGTGCACTGCCCTCCCCCTCCTCCTCCCGAGCCACATTGAGCCTACATTTTTCCATTAAGCATGCCAGTTGGAACAAAACAGACGAATTTCCTGAGCTTGATCTGCACTTTCTTTCCCACGTTGGGAGAAGGAATATTGCTGTCACGGACCTAGATTTTCACTCCCTTTAGTGCAGCGCGAGGAATCTCTGAGCCAGGAAGGTGAG